TTTCTCTCGCAAACGTTTTGAATTAAAACCCAGGGAGGAGACTTATAGGAAAGATGGCTCAAAACTCTGTCGATGCCACAATTAAGTTTCTATCGATGACCTCAGTTAGTTTCGGAGTCAGAATCCCATAAAAAAGGGGGGCGTGGGATTAATTTGAATAAAATCTGCCTGCGCTTACTTGTAAAACGAGGACATTCTCAGTTTCAGCATTGATTTGGAGAAATACTTGCTCACCAAATGAAATTCTTGGACGAACCATTCTTTCAGCATCGATCACTGAAGTCATGAAGTGATGGCATCAAGTTCAAAAATAATAAAACTGCCTTTTAATGAAACACGCTCGTCCTTTCTGTGACTAAAATAAGCATGTTTTCAAGTATTTTTAGCACTGAGAACACTCGAACTTTCTGCAAATTCGTAATGAACGCGTGTGACGAGTAACGTGCAGTAATTTAATCCTATACAGTGTAGTGATAAGGTGAACTTTCAAATATTATCTTCTTTATTTCAACTTAGACGAACAGAATCAGGAAGATGCTCAGAAGATTACCTTTCTTTTCTTTACCACTCATTTTTATTGATACACTGAAGGTCACGAGGTAAAGCACATCGAAATTGGATAAAGTTGGATTAAGTTGACGTCGGTTCTTTCTTTTGTTATGATATCCTTCTATGTAACAAAAAATAAATTTTGTTATGGCATCATTCAGCGAGTGATTTTCATCACTCACTGAAAATCACGAAAATCTCCACTCTTCAAAAAACTCCAGAACAAACAATAATTATAAATTAACTATCTTCTTTTTAGCTCGTCAGTTCGTGGGTAGATTTAAAATGCAATCATGGGGAATACGAGACTTTCAAGACTTCGAAACTCCTTGGGATCAGCGATGAGACCTTAAAAAATTTCGTTGATTCGATTGAGCTCAGTTATTCTCATTCTACTCCCAGCACAGTGATTTTCTTCCCAAAATAAAACTGGTAAAGCATTGTTTCGTTTTTTTTTTAAAAATATTGCCGAGGAATGAAGATACACATAAAACGGGCACTCGACGTTAAATCAAGCTTGACGGGAACGCAAGTCGAGAAATTCCGGCGAGGATGGATTCAGGCCCAGTAGCCGATAGCTCAGATCAGTGATCTGGAAACAAAAATCTGGCCCGCGGATGTGGGCACGTTGCCGTTAGAGAGCCGTTCACCGACTACTAGAGTCCGTCCCAGAACGCACATTTCCGCACACCTGTCATTAGCAGGGATTGATTCCTGTCCCCGAAACCACCGCAGCGTGTAATTAAGGAAGTGCCTTCAGTGACGACAGCGCGAATGAACCGACTAATTTCGGCGCCTTATTGCGTTATTTCGAAAATGAGCGAAACCCGTTGTTGAGCGTGAAGCGATCGTGATTGGCTCTCATCCACCTCCTTTAGCCGGAACGAATTCAGTGATGTGGCACGCATAGTTTAAGCATGTAACTGCATATAGAAAACGTGAAGATCTCATGCTCTAAATTCATATTATGTATCCCAGATATTACCGAACAGTGAAAACATTTGATTGAAGTTTTGAGGAACACATGAGCAGATCACTCCGGCAGCCTTCTGCAATTTCTTCAATACGCATGTAGCACTGCTGAAGCTGGAAATTCTATTTTCTGGCCTCATCGGGACATTTCACGCATTTTCTGTAGAAAAAACTGCAATGCTTGATAAAAATTGATAACTTCGCATCAATTCTGATCGAAACGTTTTCACTGAAGTTACTCCTTCGTTACCCTCTATAGGCTTATACCAAACACCTGCCTGCAGTTTCCCAACCTTTTTTAATAATACCAATTTTCCCCGCGTAGTTTTTACATAACGAAAGTAACGTTCTACGCCTCTACGGCAATGTCCCTTGATGAGCCCAACTAGTGTTGTCAGCTATTTTTTGTTCAGATAGATTTTTGAGGTTCTCTGAATAAGGCTTTTTGCGAAGTGAAAGACTTTTACTTCAATGGAACATTTTTTCAATGTGATATGGACTCTAAATCATGGAGCATTCCGGCAAAGTATTGGGGCAAGAATCTGTGTCGACAGTACCGCTATGCGTCCAATTTTGATTCCGCGTGAATGGAGAACTAACAGTCACGAAGCCCGAACCTTTTTTGCTTGCTGCCTTCCGTCAGAACCGGAAAAAAATTTTCTGCGAAAATGTCTCACTGTCTGTATTTATTATATTTTTAAAAATCGGGCATGAAAAAAAAATTGTGGTCACGGCAATTATTCAAGGATGTCAAAGAATGTCACATGGAATGATTGATTCCACACAGCGCGGCAATTGTTTCACGATTACACGTTGAAACAGGATTTTCTGCGGCATGCTCTCCCGCACACGGATCACTTCTCACTTTCCCTGCGCTTTCCGTGCAAGGAATGGAAATCGCGGACGCCGTGGGACTGCGATCAGCGCGAGCGGGGTTCTGAGCGTCCCCTGCTGGCGGCGGCGCTGCTCCCGCTGCTCTCGGCGCTGGCGGCGGCCGGAAAGCCGTGTGCGGCGGACTGCGACGACTTCGCGCAAGGTTGCCCACACGCATCCGCCGCGATGCCGATCGGTCCTCGCCAGCACGAACGGCGCAATCCTCATTTCGCCGCCGCGACTCCGTCATTGAGCCGCCCTTTTTTTCAGATGGTTTTCATATCGCGGGACTGAGATGCGGGCTTTGGAGAACGGAAAGCGGTCCCTGGTTGCATCATCGTAAGGGACGCTTACCCGCCTTTATGATCCTTATCGGCATCCGTTAAGAAACTGTTTTCTGTCATTTGAAAAAGTAGCTGCTGGTCTTGTTCTATATAAGCCGTCACGTTTACTTGTTCAACAACGCGAAAAGTTTCTTGTTCCCGAGACATCCACACATCATTGAAATTCCTTGGCCAATGGATTATTTACGCCATTATTCCAGGGACAAATTTGCCACCCGAAACTTTTATTTACTGCGTCAGGCAAAGCAATACAGATTGGCGTATTGGTTCCAGGCAAAAAAAAACAACCCTTTTGATATGGGCTAATCAATTTCAGATCCCCGAAAATTTCTTCGGTAAATTCATGCATGTGTGTGCGCGCTTAACGGAAAATATGATCAAAATAAAAAAAAGCAGCGAGGAAAGTTATCAACACAATCAATATTTTATCAAAACTCATATTTACTTGAACAATGATGCCGGCAGCCACATTCCCACAGGAGAGCATCGATTTTTGCGGGAGTATGAAATCATTTTTCAGTCAGTGTATTTTTTCGAAAAATTAGTGACAGCCCGAGTCGATTGAGGGAAAAATCTACCATGCGAGGCGTCCATACCACTTTACTCTCCTGCTAAAGGTAAGATTATTATTTTTTCAATAAGAGGCCAAATTGCCTGCCTCCTCAAGGTCGACAAACAGCCTGTCGCTGCGCCATATAACTCGTGGTTGTTGGTCACGGTATAAAATTCCTTGGCTTTTTCGAAAATTACGAAACGTAGTGCTGCACTGCATTGCAGCATTCTACAAATGAGCGGCGCGAGAAATTAAAATTATGATCTTAAATAAGATCGTTCAGCACAATTTCCAGACTTTTTCGGCACTAACACGCGAAATTACGATAGAATTAGTTTAATACTATTCGGAGGTGGATTGCAGAGAATCCACAATATCACACCTATATGCACATCTTAGAATGGTGTTTCCCCAATAACCAGGAATTTGGAAAGTAAATATCATCTGTTCAATGCCAATAAATCGGTACTGAATTACATCAATCTGAGATAAGGCATCCAATTACATTCAATGAAATTCAATGACTTCTAGCGATTCCTTAAGAGACGGACTCACGCTATTCCGTACCACTCCGGGGGCCAAGCAAACAAATTCGCAGTAAAGAGATTATCGTTGAAGAGGAGCTGGTAATGCATTGACATAAGGTATATTGGAACCATAAAGCATTTAAAAAATATCACTGAAGCTGACATCGTAGTATGAATAGAGAGAATCTATAATATAGTACAATAATGTATCTAAATATTTATATGCTCCAATATAGAGGCACATAGGCAGAATGGATCTCCTCGTCTGAGTTCTCGCTCTTATTAGAGACCAGCCTCAATTAGATACTATAAACGTGCATATGAGTTTAAATGAATTACACGAGTATATGAAGGGCAATTTTTATGGATTAACTGAATAACAATTCCAAACCAATTTCGATGAAATCAAAGTAAAGCGCTGATTTAAAGGGAAAACAGTTTTTCTATAGTTGAGCCTCTTGTTGATTTTGTAGCTCAAGCTGATTCTGCATGTCACCTTGAAAACACCTCAGTGACCGGCGTTTTCTGAACATGAAAAAAAGCCTCCCTCGCATCAGTGATCACACTCGTCAAGGTGGAAAGACGTCTCAAATGTCCCTCCATCACGGACCTGATACCGGGAAAATCGTGATCATTTCAGCTTGACGCTGTCCGGCTTCTGGTTGTGAGTTTTTTCTCTTCCTCTTTCATTCTTTAACCTTGTTATTTCGATCGAACAGAATAGCGACGACGTATGAAATCATTGGATTCAATCATCCGCCGGCAGTGAAACACTGCGTCTTGCACGTTTGAATTGTTCATTTTGGTGAAACGATGAAAAGCTTTTTTTTTTAATTTCTCGGCATTAAGTATCGTATTCTTCCGCTGTAAAATGCTTGCGGTTCCCTTCGGGATCATATTTGTTATCAGCTGAGGAAAGTGGCTAAAATAAAGCTTGTTATCCTGAGCATACGATCTTTATTAAATCCTGAAACCTCATCGGCAAAAAAGAGCAGAATATATGTTTTTTTTCAGCTGAGAATATGAAACGAACTCCCATTAAGTAAAAGTTTTTGGAGTTATGGAGCGAGTCAATAATTTCCATTCGTCCTTTACTTACCTGTTCCGTCACCTCAAACAAGTCTGACACACATGCGAGTAGGACTGAAAGTCCTGCATTACGAGAAGATGACATTCAACACCTTGGGCAACGAAAAACAATGCTTTATTCCCAACAAGCTATTTGAACCTCATATTTATTTTAAATGAAACATTGATCCGAAACGTGCATAGTCAAATAAGAATCTACGGAATTCGTCGCTGGACTGAATTCGTCATCTTTCCGGAACGATTAAATCATGAAGCCATTTCCGCCATGACGCTGAAAAGCGTTAAAAGCGTTTCGCTGCGGAAATACAGTAATGGAAATCAAACTGAAGTTTCGCGTGCGACGTCAAAACTTTCGTTCCTGTCCGAACAGCGAAGCCGTTATGAGAGTCCTTAATTGGTTCCGCTCTCATAATGCCACCATCCGGCATTCAAAAACAAACGATGGCAAGATATCAGCCTGCACTGTTAAAAAAAAGAGCACCTTCTAGACGTCGAAACACCCAGAGAGAATCAAATAAAATTTCCTAGCCTTCACCCGCAAATCCCTTTCGAGAATCACACCGCAGAAGTGCAATTCTAACATTCATCACGCGGTCGCTACTCGGAAGACTCGGAGCGGACCGCTATACAGGGAAAATAACCGGATTCGTAAAGGAGTTCGGCAGCTGCGAGAAATGGCTAATATGGCGGCGGTTCGATTTGCGGCTTTTCGGCGGCGATGCGCGTTTTGCCCGCAAATTACGACATCATTTCGTGGTGCATAGCTTGCAGGTTTGCGGACGAGAACATTTCGGCGGCGAGATCGTCTGTGTTGGTCGCCGTGAGTCGGGTTGCGCGACGTAACGCCGCATCATCCATCATTCGAGTGCCTCTTTCCATCATAGCCAGCTTCAAGCCTGGGTCCCTGGGTTGTCGAATTTTGTGCAAATAAGACTCGAGCTCTTGATCGTGATAATTTGTTGGGACCGACACTTTCGGCACCCCGAAAATGCTCAAGACCTGACGAGAGAGAGAGAGAAAAAAGAAGAATGATATTAACACTGGCACGCTTCAGTTTCCACGTGATGCGGTGTTTCCAAACTTAAAATGCCACCAGCAACCGGAGAATTTTGTCATCCACTTTTGCTCCGTGAAAGTTTCTGACATGATCCTTAAGTTTCACCGGATGATTGACAATTGCGCGGCACATGCTTCAGCTATTCTATTCAAGCAATTATAAATCACTAAAATTGTCCCTCGCATGATACGGTGTTGGCTTTACGACCTAAAACTGACACCTGAAGATTCGCCGTAATGAAAATAATTCGCGATTTGTGCTTAAAATCATTTTGATCGTATAAGGGATCAAGTTGAGGGAGACGGCGGACACCAATCCTTCAAACGGAACATTATTGACCACAGGTAATTGATAATGTAATTTTCCGCTGTTCCGAATTTTTTTTTCCTTATTGCGTTGATATTTAGTGCGTCATGTTTCGCTGTTGAACATTTTGATTTGTTTGGCATTTTGGAGACCAAATGCCATATTTCTTACAGAAAAACTTTCATTTTCCTCCAATGGAGGTACGATTGATAGCCATCTGCAATCCTTTGAATTCGGCGAATAACTTTGATTTTTGTTTCATCAAGATGATAACTGTCAAAGACTGGGTGCAACAAATGGTCTGGAATAATTATTCCGGCCTCAGAATTCAAGCAACTCACTTGCCCTTGTGAAGAAAATTTAGTTTTAATTTTTTGATGCGATGGTTTTCGGGTCAGTGAAAGATTATTTGCCTATGAATTTTACTGTGCCGCGTGTTGTTACTTTTTTTTTGCATTTACCAGGATATCTCTGAGAAGAATGAAAAAAATTGCAAAATGAAGGCGCTCTCAAGATGGACAAAAATGAATGACAACTGATTTCAGTGTGTTTCTTCCATTCTTGGCGTCGCACGCCTCTGTGTCAGACCCACTGCAATTTGATTCGTTGTTGTCCCCGTGTGTCAGTCCGCAAAATTACGTGCCACTATTCTGAAGATACTGTACACCCGTTTTAAAGTTGACGCTGTTTTCCCTAGTCAATCTGCAAGGAATATTTGACTGTATTGGGGTCCCGAGGACTTCCAACCTGAAAATGCGACCCTCAGTCACTTATAATCAGATTTTGGCACAATTGCCTTAGAATATAGAATAATGTTACCTGGTAATTATGATGGGCAAAAAAAGTGAACGAAAAATGCCTCATGTTTGGGTGAACAGTTTTTCCTCGGTCGAATAAAATTCTGCCGTGGGAGGCAAACCAATTTCTACCAATGATGCATACACAGGATGTATTCTATTTCAACAAAAGCAGTGCGAACTACCAAAATGTATGTCAGCGATTTTAAATGTGAGAAATATTTTCGAAAAAATATATCCTTATTCTGCTGGAAAAATCTTGGTGCATGACATTTTGAACTTCATTCTAGCTATCCAGACCTCTAATAAGAAGGGAAAACATTTCAAAATTGTTAAAAGATGATACTGTATGAGTAAAATCATTTTCAGAATTCAAAGTTTAATCCAAGGCATCAAAACGTTGATATAGTAAGATTCTCTCTGTATATAAATATTTGATGTGAAGACAAGGCTTTACTATTTTCTTTTTATAGATAATATCTTTATATTTAATGTAAAGAATTTTTTGGAAGTCCCTGCAAGTTTTTTAGCTTAGCGAGATTTGGCCTGTATTGAGGTCAGTTTTATCACAGCAAACTTTTTGCTGAATAAAACTGACCACCCATTGATAAGCTTCAAGTTTCTGAAGGAAGGATTCGGAAAATTTGCTTGCCAAAGTACAAACCGCGAATTCAAGAATGCCCTGTGGTTACTCGCCGACATTCCCATCGTCACGCGTTAACCACCCAACCCCCGAAAATATACTTGGAATCCATGTTAAGGCGACAAAAAATTGGTATTGTGGGTTAACTAAAGACACACACCACCAAGAAGACTGAAATACAGCCGCCATCTGCCATTATGCTGGCAGGTTTCCTGGAAGAGATTCTCTTAAAGCAGGCAATGTATTATTCGAAACAGTATCAGCAGAACATTGCTGGCACCAGAATGCCAAGATCCTGAATATCCGGAACTAGAATTTGAAAATTTTGAACAGCGCCAGCAAACTTTAAAAGGGTCTCTGTTTAGGACCAGCACACTGGGCACCATGACATCAAAGAGACTGCCAGAATTAAAGTTTTATTAAGAGGTCCACATGGTTTTACACTAAGTTACGAAGGAAAGAGAAGGAGGTCTAGAAACTATTATCATAGTTGCATGACATCCAGGATTGCGAACTCACATTCAGAGGACTTCCTGAAAATATGTTGAATTGGAAAAATTTTGCATAGAAAATATCTGCACAGAGAGTATACGTACAGTATATAGCGCAGGTAAGTTTCATGCAAATTGAAGAAGGGTCTGCTGGGAGTAGCCAGGACCAGATACTTTTTTCACAGATTACAGTAGGGCATGGTCACACTTTTACCACTTTGAAGACATGGCACTGGCAGCATTTTACTGTATTTTCCTGCAGGGCATGCTTCATGATTTTTCACACTGCAACTCGACCCTATTTCAGAATTTCAAAATAAAACCTACGCAACTTTCAAATTTTTGATAACCTTCAGACTCATGAAATTTCCCCCTCTGAAATGTTGATGTTTCTTAATTTTTTCCCCTTAATCTTTCAAATCCCAGCTGTATTCAGCAGAATCTCGGGTAGCATCGGAAATTGTCCCCTACGTACCATCCTTTAAGAATCTCTGGTAGATAGAATATCGGATGGTGCAAAATCGTTGTGAAGATGGTCCACGTGCAGTTGACGCAGGGGGCCGCAGACATCACTACATTAGTAAACTACCGCTGTTGATTTAAACGTTTTCAAAAAGTCGGTATCCACCTCGTCGGAGCGAGTGTTCCGGTTGACAGAAAGTGGACGGAAGAGGTGTTCTCGGGGCATCGTCATTTCGAGAAAGTCGTCTCCACCTGCTGGTTGCCAACTCGCTGCCTCAGGCACGGCGGCGAGGCGGTGCGGCGGATATTCGGTGGGTCGCCGATCCGCAGACCTAGACCTCGCTGATGGGTCCAGCAGGTCTTCGTAGGTTTTTCCATGGAAGCCGTAAGTGGAGTCGTAGATCCTGCTGAACGGCTTTTT